AATGGTCTAAAAACAATACATTCAGCACCGCAAGCGCAGCGGAGCGTCTTCAGAAGAATGCAGAGAATCTTAAGCTGCTTGGATTCATCTTTAATTCAATTCACTCACTTCGTTTGAAATAAAATAATATATTATAATCATTTGTTTGTGATTTTTATTAGGCATTTGGATAGGCTGTGATATCATGTGTGTTACAAGCTTGGGATGCTATTGTGTGTGAGTGTGTGTGCTTTCCTACAAAGAAATGCAGAAAATACAAAAGATTAGGCTACACCACTGTATAACATAACTGAACTACGTTATACACATGCAAATCACATTTATGATTAATATACATTAACAATAAAGATTAAAAATAAGATGCACATTACGATTGTTGTAAATGAGAAACTGTGAGGAGTCATGCAGCAGTAATAACGTAACGATAACAGATACAATTTCAAACAAAATTACAATTTATTCAAACAATTAACATTTATAAGTTTAATTAAATGTCAGTAACTCCCCATCAGTAGTTCTATACGGCCACCTGTTGGCGCAGTTGTGTAACTTAGAGAACAACTTTTATGTTGAGAATCACAAGAAAAATAAGGGTGTATTCACACCGGTCTTGTTTGGTTCGATTTAATCAAACTCAAGTTCGTTTCCCCTCTTGGTGCAGACCTTTTTGGCAGGTGTGAATACAGCAATCGCACTCGGGTGCGGACCAAACAACTGTACAGCTTCCAAACGAACTCTGGTACGGTTATACAGCTTTCAGAATCAGAATGAACTTTATTGCCAGGTATGTTTACACATAAGAGGAATTTGTTTTAGTGACAGAAGATCCACAGTGCAACAGTATGACAGTGACAAGAGAGGACACAGATAATAAAAATAATAATATAAAAACAGACAAAATAGACAATGTACAAAAAAGCAAAAACACAATATAATAGACAATTTTGTATGTACAGGTATGCTATGTGCAATTTTGAAATGTAAATAAGTATGCGTGTTAAATAAATAATGTATACT